CATAAAATTGGTCAGCTTTGGTTTTGTTTGACCCAACAAAATGGTGCTGGTTTTCGGCCATGCACTACAATGCTAAAATATCATGCAGCTGTGGCCTACTTCAACGGTCCCGTAGGCTACTAGAAGCACCGGCGGTCGGTATTGAACACTAGCAGTCTGCTAGCAAACCCATAATAACGAGGGTTTATCGGTGGTTAACTCTCTTTGAACAGAATACGAAGTTATGTTAAAGTTGAATTTTGAATTTACAAGATTTACATTTGTTATGGCCCTGCTGTAGCGGTTACTCGAGGCCATTAATTCAAAGCGCAGTCCTCTGGCCGCGAGTGGGATCAACATAATTCACAGATGTCTGTCTTTCACCTCTGTTTGCTACATCCTATCAAATAACACTCGAACTCTGGAACAGAAGTATTCTGACCTGGGTCTCTCAAATAACTTAAAGAAAACGAAATAAATGGAAAAAAGAGAACCTACGCCATAGGTTCCCTGACTCTTGACACCAAAATAGTGAAAGCGTAACGGAACATCAATATCTTAGGAGTAATTGCTGGCAGACGGATAAATGGCAAATAAGTAACAACAAGTTCTGAGACGCTGCGTGAGTACAAGTTATTCCAGCTCTGAAAAAATAAGGAAGTTGGCGAAAGCACCCAGGTCAGAGGCATACGAAGATTGCATTCCCTCAGGTCTGGAAACGGCACTGACTAAGTCCGACAACAAAAAACGACGGAAATGACGGTTTTAAGTTCCATGTTAAAAGTAAAATGGTACGACTTGGTGTAAAATGCTGCTGCAAGAGATAGATTAAGATATGCAATTAAAGTAACCGACTGGATGCAAACGAGGTGTTTGTATGAAGTGGTGGGGCCACGGTCAACCAATGGACGATAGTCGTCTTGCGAAGCGGATAGAGGACACAAAGTCTGATGGCATACGCGCCACCAGGAGAACCTCTACAAAAATATTTCATTCGAATTGACCTTGTAAGTGAAAAGACCGAAGAGTGGACACTCATTTATTTGATATGAATGGAATGCTTGTAAGTATGTGGCATCGTTTCGATGGAACGAGATAAGAAGATCTTCGTATCTTGTGCAGTCATTATGAATTGGAGCAGTCACGTAATATCTCTGTACATAATTGATGTAAATTACAGATACGATCTGGTTCTGAAACGCCACTATAAAACAAAGTTTCTCAGACTTTGAACTACGCCGTCGCTTAAACAATATACAGTTAATATCCTTTATTATTACTTTTTTATTACTACCATAACTATAATACCACTACTTCAACTACATTTACTTCGTTATCATCCTCTACAATAATGGCCTCCGGTTGCAATCGCAAGACCATGCGTTGCGCCCACATCGCTGAAGACTGCTCCATTTGCTTGAGTTTGCGAATTCCATCGGAAGGCTGCACTAATCCTGAAAATCAGAAGTATGATGCAATAGTCACACCGCTAAACCGCTGTCAAATAAAATGAAACCGCACAACCCGCGGAACACCTACCGAACTGAGGTCCAACGCCAAACGTCGCCAAGTGTTCGACTCTGTACACTGGTCCGGTACTTCGTTTTGGAGCTAAAATTGCAGTTTTATTTCATCCCTGTTCAATGGCTGCCTTAAAGACTAAACGGGTTACGTGAAAAATGCTCGAAGAGCAAAGTAAAGTATAGAAAGCAGGAAATAAGTACGAAAAATATAAGTGCCGAAATCACTAATAAGTAAATATGAAAAGAGGAATCGATTCACTGCCATTTGAATAACACTTAATGAACTTTACTTCCTAACCTAACAGCTAAAAAGGACGATGCAGAATCCTTCACCTACCGAAGCAGTTTCGACGCCCGTGTGCACCGGTGAAATGCATCCACAGTAATAAGTAATAAAAAACGCAGTAAGCAAACTAACGAAGTAAAGAGTGAAGCAAGAAAAAGTAATAAAATAGTAGAATAAGAAAGCAGCGAAGTAAGATAAGAAATGTAGTAAATAAGCAAGCAACAAGTTCCAATATATAAATAATTATACAAACGCGGTTTTAAAAGTGAACAGCCGTCTGAATGCAATAAGCAAATAGATAAGCAGTGAAGTACATGCTAAAAGAAACAAGTGAGGTAGTGAAGTATAAAAGCATATACGGAATTGGTAACTGATTAGTAAATAAGCCTTCAAGCGACTAACTAATCTTGTGAGAAACGGAACAAATAATGGCAAATGCGTTTCACTGCGCAGACTGCAGCACCGTAATGGCTGGACTGACGTTTGCTTGAAGGAATTTATGTCCAACAAGCGAATAATGCCAATTTTTCAATTGACTCATCACACACAGTCCACATATTGTTACACCTCTAAGAAAGTATGATGTTTGCATCAAAATAAATCGGACCTTCATCATTTTGACCCGATTTTGCGAATCAATTCCGTGATTGTGCCCCAGGTTTCGTTAATAACCACAGAAGATATGTATTCGTTGTACATCCGGCTTTTCATTGTCAGTATGTGCAAGGACTCCTTTATCACAAGACCTAATTTAGATTGGTCTCTGTCTACGACAGACACATTGGTCTAAATGAAAGAACTCCCTTCATTGATCGCAAGATGGAGATACCGGAATTGTCAGTCTGTCCAAGGCAGTCCGCAGCAAGGTGCTCTTTTATACAGATGCTCAATTTCCAACGGGTCTTTCCAATGTAACCTAATCCCAGTCTCTACACTGAACTTCGTACAAACATTTAGCACTTCTTCAGGATCATTAATTGGCAAGTACTTTCTATACAAAATATCGCCCAATGTTCGGCCAGTCTTGTAGTAGACCTTAAACCTCATGCTGTTACGGTACCTCGTAATACGCTGAGATACCTGGGGTATGAACGGTAAAATTATCGTTGGTTCATATGAAATGGCCAACTTTAAATTTGAGTTGAGGTGCAAAAGTTCTTCGTGAAGGATCTTCTTTAGGCAACCGTTCTTTAGGATCGCTTGATGAACATACTGGATTTATCCGTCTAGGCCCTAAGTAGTTAGTACAACAAGTTCTCCTGTTTTGCATCATGCTAGATCCGTCTTCATGTGCGCACTTCGTTACAGTATCCGTCAGTGCATTTAGGTACAGACTTTATTATTAAGTTTTAGCCTCGACAGAACAAGTTGTTTTATCTGCGTTTCAGTGCAAACTTGGTTTCATGCCGACGTATTTACTCATACATTAGTTGTAAACGCTTCTTTTACCTTCTTGTTTAGAATGCTTCGCTCTCTGTGTATTCTCTACACGCGATCTCACAGAATGTAGTGTTGTTTTTATGCTGCATGCTGTGCAGGCACCCCGTTCTTTTCATATACCTTCTTCACCACCTTTAGATCTTTTGTTTATCTTCACCCTCTACCTTTCTGTGTTTGACAATTCTGACGTAGATGGGCGCTTGGTCATCTAGTCACATTACTGAGGTGTTCCTTCTTCCTCTCTTCCACAGTTTTACCGGTTTACCCTATATAAATGAGACCACACCCACAGAGTTGCGTGTAAATCCAGCTTTGTCATTGGGATTTCGGCTCGATGGTTTTGACATACATCAGCTGGCTCCATAATGTTGTTTGGTATATGAACACTAGCGGTATTCCGCGCTTACGGACGATCCTTTGCAGCTTCTTGTTTAGATCTGGTACGCATAGAACAATGCTGGTGCTGAAATTTGGTTTAGCACTTTTAGCTCTTCCATTCGTAGTTTCACTTTTCTTATTGTTTGTTCTATCAATCATCTTGGGAGTCACGGATTCAAAGAACTCCTTGGAAATCGAAAAGTTCTTTCTGGATCACACTGTCGTTGGAGCTCAATTTGAAGCATAGGCTAACTAGATTGTTAGGAGTTCTTCTCTTAATGCAATATGCGTCGTTCGAATCGAACGGTAGGAATTTATCGGTATACGCTGGCTTGCATAACAAATAAGTAACAAAATAAACGCCTTTACTGAGTATGTTAATGTATAAGTGGAGAACAGCTTCAAAAATGTTCCTACCTTGCATTTATCAATAAGGTGAAATCCCACAGGTTTACAGAACGCTTCATCCACTGATTTTCAACATAAAATATTTGAACTAACAACGTTAGTGTTCATATTTAGGAAAACAACGTTGGTCTTTCGAAATATTGCATTTGTTAACGTCGGCAAAGTGAAACGTCGTTAAAGCCATTATGGTCTGCCCCTTATTCAAGTAGATAAGTAACTCAGTAATCAGCGAAGTGAGTAAACTAGCAACTAAACAAGTAAGAAGTGAAGTAAACAGAAAAATCAGTCAATAAATAAATAAATATACAAGCACTTACCAAACAACCAGCAACTAAATAACTGAACGACCAAATAAGTAGGTAAATAGGTACCGAAGTCATTAAATTAAAAAAGGCTAACTACTGAGCTTTGGAAAAAAGCAACGTAGATAACTGAAGTGGATTCCATGATTAGCATTAAGAAGTATAACACATTCTTCATCTAACAGAGATCATCTATTTCAACTGACTGATTGCTCTGACAGCATTTATATCGAGAAAACGTAGAGAGCATTTAGAATGTAGGTGAATAATGCCAAAAACTTCCATTAGAAAGGGCCCATCCAAAAAATTCAAGTCACATGCACAATGCTCAGAATGCCCATGTAAATTTCATAGCAAGGTGCAAAGCAAAGGCTTCGACTGACTGCTTATTTCCCTTGACGAAATCATATGATATGCAACAACATTAGTTCACTTCACAAGTGCTCCGCATGAAACCATCAGCCTAAATGAAAATCTTCTATGCTTCCACCTACCGCTTCTCTAGCTTTTAACCGATGTTGACTTCAAGCCTTTCAACAAACTTTTTGCTAGTTTCTTTTTCATTTGTGTTTTACAATCCTGACCTCTTAATCTTCGCTGTTTGTAATTTTTTGACCTTATGTTAATTTGTAAAGTAACTGATTAAAATCTGAGGTACTAGCTCGTACTGCAAGCGTTCTCAAAGACAACTGTGTACTTTAAGTCTAAAGAAACAAAGATATCCAACAATTTTACCTCCTTTGCCGATGAAAGATCACGGAAATACTTTTTACTGTCATGCTCATATGATGCAGCGATCAAAAAATCTACGACAGCTAGTAACCAGTAAGATATCGAGCCCCGTTACACTTTTATGACTGGAGGTCGCATCCTTCTTTTTATGACATCAATCGTTGAGGGAACGATATCTATTTCAATGCCATCCATCTAGGCACCGCTTTTAAGGCAAAATAACCCGCACCCTTGTGGCCAACATATGATGTACAACTCAATCGTCAACATCAGAAAGAAGACAGGCGAGTGCAAAGACTAGTGCTCGAAACCAGAACCTCTCGGTTCTGAATCCGACGCTCTGCCGATTGAGAAACCATCGTTCATCAATCGACAGGCCTTTTGTTCTGGTTTATCAATAGCCAAAAATTGATTCTCTTAAATGCAACCGAATCGGAGAGGCGTGAAAAGTTTTGTTAGCCCTGAATCAATACCTGACAGATCATCTGACGCTTAACAGCGAGCGGTATGTCGACGCAACTATTTAAGAAGTCCGTTTCGAAACTGCAGAAATGCAAGGTTCGATTACGCTCGAGGACATTTTTTATCTTGTTAACGAATTCCCTTGAGCAGAGAATTGATTATATATAAGTTCAGATCAGATTATTCAGTCGATACAGCGTCAAAATCACGACCGAGAGTAAGTTCCGAGTTTAGGTCCCAGTAGCAATCACTCGCCATTTTTCAGTCAGTCCCACTCCGTGGGAAGGAAACAGAAGACGACCACAGACTACGTCTGAATATGGTTATAGACTCGGCATTAAAAAAAATAAGGCACTCTTGGCTAATGGTATTAAAACAAAGTTCAACTCCGCACCACCAACTTCATTAAACGAAGTAGGTGCCAAAAAAGCCCAATCATGCAAGGGAAGATTTAACTGTTATTAACTATACTTTTTTTCCGTAATAGCATAAAAATTCTCAAGGCTGTACAGTCGTTAAAAATAACAGATAACTAAGCGTAATCGGTTTTGTTACGCAGAACTCAAGTGAACTATGGTAGTTGCTAGTTGCTGCACGAATTACCACCAAAAATTCATAACCTCAGCAGATCGTGGTAATTCTTTATGTAAATAAATGAACGAAATAAAAAGCTATGCCAAAC